CACCTTTTTAAATATTTGTTTGCTTTGTAACAGTGTCACAGTTTCACCAACCAACTGAAAACTTATAAACTTTTCAGTATGAGTAAGAGGAAAAAAATGATTGATGTGGTCTGTTTTCTCTGGAGCCTGTCCTGTAGTGCTTTAAAAGAGTCCCCAAATGGTGGAACTTGTAATTTTGAAGCAAAAGCCTTTTCCCATTGAGTATGGCCAGGTACTTGAAACAATGAAAGGGATCACTGGTAGAGATATATTACTTTTTGGCAGGAAGAATATTGTGTGTTAGGAAGAAACTGACTAACAATCAGATTTCTTCGACAAAAGATGTGGTTTGCTTTTTTATACATAGAATTCATTAGTATTATTAAATACTCTTACACATTTCTTTAAACTATAAATGATTTCCTCATACTTGGTTCCTCAGTCTTCAAAAGCTTTAGAAGTTAGATAAAAGCAGGTGCATGTTAGAAGCCTGGGTAGTGTGGAGGTGTTACTTTGTGGTAGATTTTTTTTAATCTAAGCACATATATTACAGAAGCCATTAACTTTTCTTTTTATAAGGAGGTCTTAGATTGACTATTACATTCCAAGGAGATTCAATACGGATTATTTCAGTCTCACAGTGAACAATGATCCTCATCTGGACAACTGCATGTCCAGTCAGACAAGAGGGAAAAATGAATGTTTTCTCAGATGTCCTCACAGGGTGAGAGCCAGTCTCTGGTGTGCCAGACAAATGAATAACCAAACACCAAGACCACAACCAGGACCAGCTGTGGGACAGCTCGGCTCTTGGTTCTGGTATCCACAGAAAGAGTCTAGGTTTGAGTTGCAGACGGCTGAAGATGTGCAGAGATCATTAAAATCAACATTCTTCTGTGATGCTAAACATGTGTGATGTGAGAAGCCCCTTGAATTGTAGCTATACAGCAGCCTCTGTGCACTCACCTATGATAAACCAGGCCCTTCATGAAAAAATATTGTTCATATAGATACCAATCTGTGTTCAATGACAGTACAACACTTTGTCTACATTTATTTATCGAACACTAGGATAGGCATACAGTTGTTTCTCTAAGAACTTCCATGAATGTTAATGACAGAGAATATCACTTGTAGACAAAACTTGTGCCTAGGAAAATATGGAAAAGGAAAGCCAATAAAGCATCATGTGAAAAATATTAGCTTGCTGAAAAGCTCTTTATGGTTTGAATTAATTTTTAGTTCAGCTGCACTTGTTAAAACTATAAATAGATAAATAGTCTCTTGCTTTCCTATAGCTTTTTTCCTCTTATAGTGAGCTTTAGAAGTCTTCACATTCAGTGATTTTTATTTTATTATATGTAGCTGTCACTGCAAGCTCTCTTTCAAAGACCTACTTTGATAGCAGGCTGTTTTATCTCAGTTCCTAGTGTGATAAAAGCCAATTTAGAGTCACTTACTTTATACAAAACAATGGAAAATACAAGATATTTTGGTGATAATAGCATCTTTAAAAAAAGGATGACCATCTGCCTTTATTCACTTTTCCTGCTTTCAGTGTCCTTTTGAGCTCCCCTTTCCCTATGGAAAGACAAAATCACTGAGATCATTTTCAGACCTGTCAGCTGCGAGGATATGGTAACCATCTTATAAGATAAACATATGGCTGGGTCTTAAGGGCTTTTTCAAACTGGGAATCCAAATATAGGCTGCCAAGTTGTGTACAGAAGCATCTGCCACGTCGGTTCCCCATCACAACGCCTCCCTGCACCACCAGGAATCCTGAGTTGGTGCCTGCTCTTTTCCAGGTTGGCATTTCATGGCAAGAGCTAGCCACAAAAATCCAAGTGTGTATATCTGAAGGCTTAAATTTAGGCTCAGCTTCAGGCTCCTGAATTTGAAAGTCTTGGGAATAATTTGGGAAAGATGAGACTCGCCTATCTGGAGGGTCACAGCAGAAACCCAGCTGTAAGCTGCAGGGTGACCTGACACAGAGGGACCTGGATATTGGGCAGTCTCTCCAGGTGGACTGTGAGTGATTATTTTGGGATATGCTTTGAACCCACTGGCTGTGGGTTCACACAGTCCTTATTGGGCAGGCCAAGAAAGATCGGTTCATACTCCATCTGATTTATTTTTACGAAGTTCCTGACAAAACTGTTGCCTAGTAGCCCCGAAATGTCTGTATCTTGCTTTATTTGTGGTTTCTTGGCTTAGATGGCTTAGCTCCGGAGGACCGTTAAGCAGGAATTGTTCCAATACATGGGACAGCTCAGCTCCTCACAGCTAACCAGAATGCGTCTCCAACTTCAACCACTTGATTGTTCTGCTGTACAGTGTTGCTGCCTCCTGCCTTTCATGAGAAATGCTGTAATTTGCCTCTACAAGGAGTTAGGAAAGCCTTGGTGCTGACAGAAGCCACAGGACAGTCACACTGCCCTGGGAGCAACAGCAAGGGCAGGGCACCATAGAGAGTGGATTCACTGCCCTGTGGTCAGTCAGCTTTCCGAATACAAAAACTGAGGAAAACAGCATCAGAAAGGGATTTAGCTCAAAGGGACAAATCAGGTTTTGTTGTAAGTAGGGGATTTCATGGCTCTTATGGAGAAGCAGTATTGCAAAATGTAATTCACGTTGTCCTGATTATTTTCCCTTCTCCACGGACACCAATGCCTTCAGTTCACCGGAGTGGTACCATCCTTCACAATGCCTTAGGAGCAGCTTCACGTGAGAAGTACTGAGTTGCATCTAATGGCTCATATTGGAGGTTGATTCCTTCCCTTTAACCTTGAAACATGGCAGCATTCTGGCAGTGGGGTGGCCTTGCCCATGCCTTCCTTCTACTGAGGGCTCTGAAAAAGGTAGGTCTGTGCTTAAGAGGAAATACAGCCAAAGGAATTTGCAGTTGACCATTTACTTCCTCATCAACTCCTAATACAAGAAATACCAGTATAGAGAGAGATTAATAAGGCATTTTTCCCAGGTAATCAGAACAATTATGACAAACTTTCTCATGAAAATATTTGTGTGAGGACAATTGTTTTTGTTCAAAATGTGCATGGTGCACATTTTATATAGTAATACTTATTTTTTGCCTTTTTTTTTTCTTTGCCTGGGCTTTTTATATTTTGGGTGTTTTGTAAAAGCAAGGCATCCAACGGGTTTAGCAAAACAAAGACCGACCATTTTTATATACTTTTAGTTTTAAAGCAGAACATGCCCCTCATGCCAGGAAGTTAACTTATCTGTTCTAATCACATGAAACTTACCCTGAAAATCAGAGAAGGCAGTGTAATAGAAGAAGATCTGTGAAGGTGCAGGATGTTAGATTTATTGCCATTTGTGAAGCCATTTAACACTGTTCAGAGCAGTTTTAGCTCATCAACACTACACTGATGAATTTCAAAATATCATGTGTATCTGAGACAGCCTTCTGCAACTCATCTTCACTTGTTCTTACTTAGTGTTTGCTCTCACTCTTTACTTTACTTTTTACCTTACTTTAAAACTTCAGTCATTTACTACAAGAGCCAAAACCCTTCTCCTACCCACCCCATGTACTGAACAACCAACTAATGAACAGGGTGAACAATTCCTGAAGTATTTCCTTTGCCTAAGCTAACTGTAGGAACCATATTCCTAGCCATCGGAATCACACTGGAAACATGCCTTGAACAAACTTAAAGCTGCAGCCATTGCAATCAAAAGATTAACAGATAAGTAATTAATTTTGGTAAGTTGCCCTCCCACATGGACTATTTTAAACTTGAAGATTGATAAAATGAGACATTTCATAAACATGAAATTAAAAGAATCCTCAGTAGCTGCATTAAAAAAACAGACAACAGTCTTGACTCACGCATCTAACACTGTCTGGAAAAAAAGAGTTTTAAAAATATTGTTGTTAAGTATGCGATTATAGAGTACAGAAAATAATTTTTCAAAAATAGATCTTTATTAGCAGTCTGGGTTAGAGAAGTGGATAATCACTTTGAATAGGGTTTTCCGTTGAGAGGAATAAAAATTTTAGGTGTTCACATGATACAAGTTTAAAAATATGGAAAGTGATCTATTTACATTACAAAGATGAAATCGAGTTACAGTGGCTAATAGGATAAGTGTTGCAAGTTAGACATTAGAAGAGGGATATGAACCCAATTTACTGGGCAAATTAACTTTATTAGAACACCTGAGCTGGTGCAAAGATAATGGTGCCTTTAGGAGACAAACTGCCTGCCTTACCTGTGTACTCTACAGTGTTTCTCTAATGATTATAAAGTTCTTTAGGCAAGCTTTTTCACCAGCCTAAGGGATCCAAAAGACATTGATAAATGTGCAACAGAAATAGACTGAAAAAAGGACTTAATGCCCTAACTCTCCATACCTTAATACCTGCTGAAGCAGCTCTGGTTTTTCTGCTCTGTGTGACTAAAATTGTGCTTCTGGATGACACGGATGCCACTGATTTGCAAATGGAGCTACACAGTGTTTTCAGGAATTGAATACAAGCCCAGAGAATCCCTTAGAAATAATGTCCTGGAAAGCAAAGATAGAGCCTGACCAAACTTAAGGGGAGCTGAAGCCTTTCAGCAGTGTCCATCTGAGGCAGTTAAAATATGGACAGAAATGCATGTGGCAGGATCTCTTTCCTTTTTGATAACAAGCTGTACTCTGGTTCACCTTGTGCCCATGGATTTCACGGTGCCTGATACAAGTAAGGTGAATGGTGTCTGGATGCAGTCAGGCACTGAACAAGGGGATCTTAACATGCTTGTTAGTGCAGAGAGTTTTCTGCTATTTCCAGACTGTTCAATAGGAAAGGGAGACAGACTTAAATGATGTACCCAAGGTCATGCCTCAAATTAGTAGGAAAATGGAAAGCACCTCACAAACAGTGCCCTTCTGAGATTGTGGAGCTGATCTGCCTGTCTGAAAAGAAAAGAAAAGAAANAAAAGAAAAGAAAAGAAAAGAAAAGAAAAGAAAAGAAAAGAAAAGAAAAGAAAAGAAAAGAAAAGAAAAGAAAAGAAAGCTAGACCTCTTTGCAGTGACCAATTTAAGCCAATTTGTATTGAACAATTTGATATGAAATTTGATTAAAAAAAAAGAGAAAAGAAAGAAAAACCTTGTGAAGCTAGACTAAATGGTGTTCACAGCAAAGCAGTCACCCTTTGATGTGATGGTTTAGAGGAACTGAGGCAGAATGTGCTGATTTCGTGCAGTTTAATAGAAATAAGGCTGTGAAACATCTTCTAATGCGAAAATCCAAGACTCTTGTCAACATATAACTCTGAACCTTAAAATTACCCCACCTGAATGCATGCAGATGAGTCGTGTTCATTAATTGCAACAGCATCTGTGCCCACTTACACCAGCTAAATATCTAACATTCAACATAAGCAGTTTTCTTGTCCCTTTCCAATTAGCTCCATTACAGAAAATCTAATTAAATCATATCTTTTAGCAGGAACCAAGAATTCAAGAGCTGTATTTTTGCACTTAATTAAAAGCTCTTTGTCTTGAATTGTTAATTTTCTGAAAAAGATATCCAGTAGTTCTTCCTCTGATCCACTTGGTTACTCAATGAAATGGCTCTGAGTTGGCTCTTGAACTGTACACTTGGACTCCAACTCTTATGAAGATCTCAGAAGATGATAGGAATCATAGCTGCTTTTCTCCGCACTTCTGGATAAAATCTCTTCAGATACAGCTTGTGTTTCTTTTGGGCCCAGAGAGACATCTGGATGACCATCAGGAAAGCAAAAATGCCAACTACCAAGGAAGAAGATTTAAAGAAAAGGATCATGTGTCTTCTTTCCATGTCTGTTTCTGTGAATGCAATAGGGTTTATGGAAATGTTTGCAGTCTCTTCTGTGGGCAGAGACAACTCTGTCCTTGCTCTCAGCCTTGCAGTTGCTCATATACCATAGTCTGAGGCTCATCCTCAACATCAGAATTCACACAGATGATGTTCACATCCGTTAGACACACCATGTATCACCTACAACTGCACCATAGTTCACAAGGCCTCCTTGGCCATGGTGCCATCTCAACATAGAATTACCCATGGCCTCTCTCAACTATTTTTCTGGTTTGCTTTTGGACCATAACACTTTTTTGTTTTTGGCTCTGGCTCTCAACCATAACAGGGAGCTGTGCTGTAACTTCCTGCTGTGTGGAGGGAGAGCTCGGCCCTGGAACAAGTAGGCAGTAGCTGCCTGATTTAGCTGCCTGGCAGTAAGGTCTCAAAAAGCCCAAAATCTACAGACTTCCCAGGACCCTGCTGTGCTTGTCAGGAGCCAGTAAGTGGTCTTGGGTACCTCTCCCTTCAGGCTGAGTGGCACCAAATGGGGGATGATTCTACTGGCGCATTTTGCAAATTCATTATCCTTTCTTCCTTAAAATGAGATGGTGAATCAGAAACATTCATTTGGCATCTGCTTGAGTTATGTCTGAGACAATTACAGCAAGGATGAGAGTGCTTCATATGTTACTGCTCCTGCCACTGTAGGGACAGCCCTACAATGTCCCCAGACTTTCAGATAATTTCCATATCAGAGCCTAAAGCACAAAAATGTTTCATCTTTTCACACAAAATTTAAAGTTTAATCTTTGCATGATGTAGTTTAACCCACTTTTGAAATTCATTGCTTTTTCATTTTTAAACCATGTGGGGCTACTTTTTGCAAGTAGTTTTTATAGGTTTCTATTTTGAAATGGAAAAATAATTTAAAAGTGACTGTTTTAGAAAGCTTAGTTCCAGGAGCCATATTTTTATGAGTATTTAGGTCTCTAAGGATGCAGGAAAGAACTGAACAAGAGTCACAAATGCTACTAAGCTGGCTGCAGTTACAAGCTGGCTGCCTAATACAACTAAACAGGGAAATGCTACCAAGAACATGTTGTCTTTCCTCTTTTTGAAATACTAAGTACATGGGTTTTTCTTTCCCTGTTAGAAGTATTATTCCAGGTTTACAATGCAAAAAAATTTTCCTATATCAAAAATGATTGACTGTAAATGAAGAATACTGACTTACTGGTTTTCTAAATTTCAAAGTCTGCTTTCACTGTGGAAATGGAACAAACAGTAATATGTCACGAAAAGCGGAGAGCTGATTCTGATCAAATAAGGTGTTGCAGTGATGTTCACACTCTCCACAGCTTTCTGAGGGTAGCACTTTGAAGATTTACACAGATATCTCACAAGGGGAATTTGATGGCAATATTTCATATGCTATAAATTTTTTTTGGCAAATTTTAGATTTCCAGAATTCACTTCCACAAACACTTTAGATGCTGTCTTCATTCTGTTTCAAACTTACCTGGCAGAGTTTGTGTCATCACTGTGAAACTAATCCAAGACCCAGCCTGTTGCAAAGAAAAAAAGCACTGTAAGTTGTATATTTACGTAAAGCAAAATGGTAAGTTTTCAAAAGCTATCCCCAGAAAAAGAGCATGGTACTTGTACTGGAAGTGGGAGAGGGAAAATAGCTAGAAATGAACCCCCCAGTGTGCTGGATGGGGTGAAGAGATGAGTAGTAAATCCTTGGATCACTGGGGAGTCTGTAGTGGAGGGAAATAAAAACAAGAGCCGTAATAGTGACATGAGGGAAGAGAAGGGTCTGGTGGAGAAATATTTGTGAGAGCAAGGAGACTCTGACGTACAGAACACCATGATTGATGTGCAGAGGGATCTGCGTGGAGGCGTTGCAGATTTCTGGAGACAAAGGCTGAAGCACAGTAACCACCTACCCTTTGCATATAAGCAGAAGAAAGTCATGTACCTCATATGTATAGTTGGGACAGGACACCAGCAGGAAGAGCCATGTGAAGGGGTTGTAAGTTGGACTTGGAAAACAGGTTTTATTTCCTTATGAAAAGAAAAAAAAAAAAGGAGCAGGGGAAAAATCAGACAGAACCAGTTTCAATACAGGGAGAGATGAACTGAGCATTATCACAGCTTGCCTATGTAATAGCCATCCCCTTGGCCAATGCTCTCAGAGTACAACTTTTTAGAAAAGTTTTAGTGAAGTCTTTGGAGATAGCGAAAACTGTGTGTATCCCAGTGAGAATGCTGCTTAGCGAACCTTGTATCAGTTTTTACAAGAACGTCTGGCATGTCCAGAGGATGCAACTTCTGTTCAGAGGAAGAGAGAGACAAGTAGTTTAATGTGTACTAGCTAGCAGGTGAGGACTAAGGGCACTCTACTGGGATATAAAGGATGCAGCCGTATCTTATTCAGCCTGGTTCAGGAATGTGAACCTGTCTGCTCCCACATCCTCACCCTACATCTCTGGTTAGAATAGGAAAAAAAGTCCAGGGCTAACAGGATTACCCTCTACAGCCGCTGATAAGGCTCACACAAAAAGATCATAGCGTATACTTTATATTTTAGATATTTAATATATAATACAAATTCAGTGGTCTTGTAAACATGTGGGGTTGGTTGGGGGGTTTTTGCTTGGTTTGTTTTGTTGTGGGTTTTTATGTTTGGTTGGTTTTTTTCCCTTTCCCTGCTGTCTTGGACCGGTGAGCAGGTAAAAATAATTAATTATTCTGAAGTTGGAATTGAAAGATTTTCTGATAGGAAATATATCAGTGATTTCTCATCAAGGACTAGCATAACCATATGAAAAAAGCAAGAAAAGAATTGCAGAAATTATCTATTATCAATATTTTTAAGTGCTGGCAACAATGCTATCTTTAATACTTGTAGGCACTGAGAATGTAATTAAATTATTTGGCTCCTGCTGCTTTTAAACTGAATTAGGCCCCTTGCACCAAACAATATAAGCACCTGCCTAATCACAGTGCATGAAAAGCCTTCCAGAATAGAAACTGACTTCTGTGTGTGAAGCTGATCATACTGTGGTAAAGTAGTTTCTTGAATAGGGTGTTATAGTGGAAAATTATACTATTAATGTCTGAAACTATATTTTACTTGCCAGTATACATAGTATAACTTCTATTCTCATGATACAAAAGGTCCTAAAAACCCTTTTTAGGAGCAGCCTTTTAAGAGCATAAGTATACATTGATGCCTGTGCAGGTATTCATGAGTGTCTCTTTGTGTATTTGTATATATGTGTGTGTATCTTTGCCTGAGATGCATGTATCTAAAAACTCTGCAATATAGTTTAAAAGTTTTAGAGACTTATTTAAAATGGAATCTTCATGCTTTAAAGAACTGTGCTTAAATACATATTTAAATTGCAGTTGTGTTTAATTAAGATAGATTTACTATAAGCTTTGGAAAAACAACAGTGTTGCTAATGTTTTCTTGTCACCACATTTATTTTGAAGATGTTAGACTGATAGCATGGTACCTACTTCATCTTTCTTTAATCTGTGGATGTAGGTACATAAATTACTGTACACCAGCAGAAGATGGATAGGTTCAGCACACTTCAGTCTTAAATAGACAAACAGGAAAGAAAGACAGACCTGAATTAGTTTGGTGAGCTAAAGCTACGTTGATAAAGTGATTTCCAGCTTCACACATCTGCAAGACATTAAAAACATGTTTTCAGTTGTATGCCTAAAATGCTGTGGTAACTGTGTTGCAGTGCATAAGCAGAATCCCCCCACTACCACTCAAGTCTCTGTATCCAGTATCTGTAGCCTGTGATCTTTGTGAAACACACACGGACTAATGAGCACCATGGGTGCAGCCTGGGGTGAAAGCCCCTGGTTCAGCCACTGCAGAGCTCGGTCCAGGCAAACCTTCAGCATGGACCACGTGCTTTGCTCTGGGGAGACCAGGGAGACTCTCTGGGTCTAAGGAGTTCAGCGAGATGCTTTTCTTGATTTATTTTGGATTTAATCCAGGCTGCAAAAAAGCAGGTGAAAAGCACTGGCTTTGCAAAGATGTTGTGAGTAAGGTGCCTATCCTCCTCCTACACACACTTTCAAAGGTATTCAGCATAACACGAAGGAAAAAAAAGGGCGAAGAAAAAGGTAGTGGTTCTCTGAAGGGCAGACTGGTGGAATGGACAGTAGTCAGGAATCGATAAATGAACGGAGCCAGTATTATTCCTGGTTCTGCAACTCTCTGGCTTTTGCGTTTTCAGCCCTAACCAACCTCTCAAGCTTGGTCGTTAATATTTAAATGTTTTAAATCTTTGGAAGAGGCATTGTGTCTCCCCATTTGGTTTTACAGCATGTAGTAGTAGATGATTTCAGATTTTCTTGAGGCTTTCAGTACTTCCTCAGTTACAACTCCTGAAGAATCAAACCCAATATTTACCCATATTTAAAGTAGGAGCTGGTAGGAAAACCAGTTTCAATTCCTGAAAAAGAAGACCTGCCAGCACAACTATGTAATTTTATGTGTTTAATTTTTCCCTTGCTCTACGAAGAAAATCAAAATGCTGCATACATTTCAGACTGAATTGAACTCTCTTATTCATTTCTAGGTTTGAAGACTGATTTTTCCTCTCCAGTTGAAAAAATGCACTGTTAAAATTTCTGTTTTCTTATATCATTTGACATTCTAAATTTTGCAAGGCTGTAAAAAGTTTAAGAAATTAAATAAAAAGGAAAATGCTAAAATCTAGAGACATTAAAAGCATGAAGTCCAAAAATTAATACAAAAAAAAAAACCTTTAAACTTTAAAACTGAATTGTAAAACTAAGTAAAGCTAAATTGAAAGCTAAATTAAAACTAATTGAAAGAATATATAACTTCATTTTATATTGAAATGTGCCATTATCTGAAAGAACATTGTAGATAGCATTGCTGAAAAATTTTCCCCCTTTAGACAGAGGTTTTTGTGGGGTTTATTTGGAAAGTTTAAATCAGGTCTATTAGCAAAACTGTTATTCTGCATGGATATGTAGTTATGGTTCAAATCTTGCTGTTCTTTTATGTTTTTTTAATTACAACTACCTGATGGTCATCTTTGATAACTACCAGATGCAAAACAATAAATAGCCAGAAAAGGAAATTCTATTATAAAATACCATATCCAAAGCTATAACTCTAGCCATAGCAATAGAAGTAATTTTAATTTACATACTTCCCATTATCAGCTAGGAACATGATTTTTTTTTCTGATTACTATTATTTCAAAGAAAAAGGTTTTGTAGTTAAAAGTGGTTTTGTGGAACACTATACATACCGAAATGTGCGACGCCCATACTATTGTGGAGCAGGAGATATTCAAAAACTGTAGTTAACCCCTACTAATTCTATAATCAATTCTAAGTAAAACAAGCAAAGGGCATTTCTGCAGGGTTTTTTTATTGACTTACCTTTGACTCTGCAGCTGCCTTCTGCTGTAATTAACTCTTATGTCCCTCTCTAGAAATGTGACTGTTAATGTTATACATTGAGAAGTAGTGCTAAACGTAAGCTAGTCCTTAGTGTCTCAGATATAAAATATGGGGCAGTGGGGAACATCAACAGAAAAGCTTACCATATTTACAATTATAAAATATTGAAGTCTACATATATACTTTTTATATTCCATATGCACCCCATGAGAAAAACATCCCTGCAAAACTTAGACTAATTTCTCCAAATATGACAATCTTTCAGAAGGGCCTGCAGACACTCTTCATATTACTCAGTACTGTTGTTTACGGCAGCTGCAGATGTATACACTTAAATCAGGATATGTAATAAACACAGGGTTTAAAAGAGGGTAAGAAAAAGAAATCTTCCAAATATTTTATTCATATGTTTCAGAAACCTGTGAAAACAGCTTCAAAATATTTTATTTTGTTTGTTGGTGTTTTAAAATCATTGTCTGGGAATCTGCCAGCACAGGATCTGAAAGGGAAAGGCTTTGAGTTTCCATAGGTAGGGAGTTCTCAAAAGAGCTGTAAGAACTGAGACCACAGACCAGGTGCTGATGCAGATCTGAAGGGGATCGTCATATTTTATATCAAACAACCCTGACAGGACTCATCCCTTTGCTTAATGGCAGCAATTTCCCTAAAAGCTATAGCAGGGCATGTTACATTGAGGCAAGGAAGGATGTTGCAATAGAAAAGGAGGCTTTTTCTACGTAGAGACTTTGACAAGGACTAGTTTTTCTGGTAGCACTGGATATTCAGCAGTTTTCTTGTTTTCAAATAACCCCTGAGCTTGGGAAGAGTACAGAGAGCAAGGTTCTGGGCACACTACTGCCCACCACTGCCACAACGTCCTGTCCCTGATGTACTGGGTTATTGTTTTCAGCTGTAGAGCCTCATGGAGTGTGCAAACTTCTTCGTATGTGTATCTTGCTTGTCTTTGCTATACCTTATTAGGGTTTGAAAAGCTGAGAACTGCATGGCCAGCCCCAGAAACAAACACTGCCAAAATTGTGATCTTTAAGGGTCCCAATTTACAAAAGCATTTCAATATTGCTAAAGGAGTTTTTGAATGCTTTTTTGAGTAGTGTTTGCCTGAAAGAGCTTAGACTTGTTAATGTCCCATCTTCCTGTTTTACTTCTGGAAACTGATCTGTATCTGACTTTCAAAGAAGCTGACTGTTTTGGATGCTAACCCATGCTTGCTTGGGTAAGTCATCATCCAGCAGTTCCAAATAAAATGCCCTCAGAGGACAGGAAGAATTTACATTTCCATGTGAGAAGTGACTAAGCTTCTGTCTCACTGTGCAATTACGTTCATTCAAACATCAGTCTCAGCCATCCTTCGTCAGCTGCACTTTCCCTTGGCTTAAGCCACTTTGGCAGAGATTGTTTTTATTGTTTTTTATTGTTTAGCTGTTGAGGTGAAGTTATTCAGGGTACGCTGAACTATTGCAAAGCCTGTTTAGGATGTAATTCTTCAATGTTTTCGAAACCATAAGTTTCAATCTGCCTAAATAATTGTGTTTTAACACAATTATCAGTAGTAATAATGCTGATGATGTCCTCATGGCTCTCCGATAGAGTACTTCACGTTAACCTCTATATACATAAGTAGTAGCAGAAGACCTCCTGACTGAGAAACCTGTGAAACCTAAATCCCATCAAAGGAACAGGGCTGTGGGCATGGTCATATATACATATATGTATATACACAAATGCATAACAGTATTACTGCATATTACTAAATTGTGATTTACTCCTTTTCCACAGTCATTAATAAAACTTCATTTTTGTACGTACCAGAAAAGCAAGGGCAGCATAAGAAACTTGTCTGTGGCCAAATGCTAGAAAAGAGAATGAAATGATAAATTGCATTTTACGGTATGCACATGGTTTGCTATGGGTGAAATTAATCTAGTGCTGAGGAGCAGAAATACTTCTTTCCTGACAGGCTCTGCAGAAAGATTGGATATTATCACACAATATGAAGACAATACAAAGAGTAACAGCACTCTAGAAATGCCAGTCTCTTCACCACTGATCTCAAGTCAGGTTTCACCTAATGTTTTTTACTTATTTGCCATCTTCATCTATCCAATTGTTTTGTCAAAGCAGCTGGTGGTGGTAAATTGAAAAGGCAAAAAGAGTAAAGAGAAGTAAAGGTCAGTGGCAGAACCGGGCCAAGAATCACAGCCTTATCCATAGGCCTTTCTATTCCCATGAGCAGAGAACCCAATACATAAGCTATCTGTAAGGTAAAACATATGCAGTTATTTTTCCCAAGAATGCCAAGGCAGTGGTATTATTAAAAAAAAAAAAGATTTATTTCAAATGCAAGGACCACTTTTTAATGATGCTGCACATACCTGGCCCCCAGGGGAAAAAAGGCAATGCCCTACCTTCTCCAATGCTTTTTGTATCTTTTCTCTCTCCTTCCCCACCCTCTGTGGCCAGAGGAGGCCTTGTACGTGTCTGCAAACTTGTTATCACTCGGCATACAAGGGAGATAGATAGCTTGCTCACAGCTTCTCCCTGCAACTTCCTCTGAAATGCAGAAGGAAGGAAGCAAAAACCATCTAACCTGTTTGAGAAGGCATTTTACAGTCTTCCTAAGCGAAATCGAGTTCTAGCTTTCTGCACAAATTCTTCCAAAATTGTACCTATCCCTACATCATCCACTACCTTTGGTTTTTTTTTAAGTAGTGAGTCAATAGTGAGGCTTTACTACATAGCTACAATATGCTTCAGTCTCACCATGCAAGAAATATATTTAGCCTTTGTAAATTTTACCTGTCATTTGCCTGTCTTCTCTTCTTTGCTTGTGTCCCCAGACCAGTATAGGGCTCTACCATGTTCATCTCCAAAGGTTTGCAGTTCTCAAGTAAACCTTGCTCACAGATGATGGACACAAATCATATGTATATACCTCATCTCCCTGACCAAGTCTCATTAAGCCTTTACTTTTGAGAACCCTTTTTTTCTGGCTGGCACATGACTCCTCAGTGATGCCAAGGGCATGTGCTAAAAAGCCTCCTCGGAACCACCACCACATGTCAACTTGTGAGCATGCAGCTGCTAAGCAGATGTTCTTCATAGGCCCTTTGTCAGCCTGGCTTAACTTACCACTCCTGTGGTAAATTCTGCAACTATCTTGCCTTTCCTTGCTGAACTCCAGACCAGTCATTGCTGGAAAGGGCTGTGGAGGTTACCTGTTGCTGCATCCAAAATAAACCATCAGTGTTTTACTGATTCCACTAACCATGTCAGAGGGCTGGTGGTCATTAGACCCAAATACCTATAACTGTCATTTTAAGGCAGTGGTAAGCAATTGGAAATATTTCTTCTAAAAGCTTTCACTTCTGTATCTTGAACAAATGATTTCCTCAATAAAGAAGCTGCACCTACTGCTTTGATAGCCCAGACCACTAAAAACTGTGTCTAGGGAGTTTTCTATATTGTCTGCAGCTTTGTTGTTAAAACCACAGCAAATTCAACTGTCTTTCAATGAATCACGTAGTTTTGAAACAAAACTCCTGTGCTGTTTTGAAAGAAAGGCAAGTGTTATGTACGAGAATTTTTTTATTGAGAAAACTTAGCAATTTACCTGAGTATAAATAAAAATGACAAAGCAACTGCTTTGTTCCCAAAGCTCACAGATAAATCTAATATACAAAGGAAAAGAAAGACTATGGTGTAGCAAGGGAAGTAAAACAGCAGAAAATAAAACTGAAGCAAATAATGCTCAAAAGAAGCAAAGGCTCAAAGAGTAAAAAAAAAAAAAGTCATGAAGATACAGCAGTGCAACAATCAAATATGATTAAAGGGAACAAAATGATGAATGAAACCTGAAAGTTCAAAAAATAGGATCTTTTGGTTATCAGCAGTATGGGATGGATTTTTACTGATTTCTCACCAAAAAAAAAAAAAAAGAAAAAGGAAAATCCTAATTTTCATGAAAAGGATGTATCTTTAGCAAATAAATATCTCCTCCAAGAAAATGCAGACAATTCTAGTTTTCTCCTGTATTCTTAATACAAATGTTGTGAAGAGGAGCAAAATTTTTGTGTTTTCTCCACTTGGCCAATGTTTCCTCTGCTTGGCCGATGTTTCCAGTTGATAAAACTGGAAAGTGATTGCCCATTATTGAACAGGCACATACATTTGGTGGCACAAGCAGAGGTGCCTCCAACATAAGAATCTTCCTTCTGACAGGGTGTAAAGGCTATTTTCTGCTAGATTAGTCATATGATCTCATGTGGGACCATCTATTGATTTTGGAGGACTTGAGGTTACATGCCAAAAACTTTTTAAAACCAAGGTCAGATTTGTGTTCTACTCATACATACATGGTGGAGTATACCGTGGGTGGTTGATGTAGTAGGCGATCCAGGATGTGAATCCCCAGTAAAAGGCACAGCCCTGGAACAGACAAAAAAAGATAATCTTTTTGAAAGGGCAATAAGCAAGTACAAACTGGAACTTTATAAACATAAATTCCAGTAAGTGCAAAACCCAGAATGACCATTGAAAGACTTTGCAGTGGCTTTGTGAGTCTCAGAATATATATCTTTTTTAAGATGCTGTGAAGCTAGGGGAAAAGGAAAAAAAGTACACAACATAGATTTTTATTATTATTATTATTATTGTGTTAAATGTGTTTTATGTCTGTTGTAGGAATTGGGGTTTGTTTTCTCATTCTTTGATTCTACTGCTGAAGAGCACATTTCTCTAAGTTGTACTATTAAAAGTCTGGGGATGCTTAACACAGCTGATCTGTTACTGTACCTTAAATTCAGCATTTCAAAGCAAGATAGAGCTAAACAAAGAGAATGTTAAACCAGACAAAACAATAAGGACTAAAAGTGAATAAGCCTGTTTTAATCCTGTCAAAAAAATAAGGAACATCCTTCCTATAAACATTTTTGGCCTACACACTACATCTACTCCCATAAATTGCACCCCATTTTATCATCTTGCTGAAAAACAGCACCCCAACTGCCTTTGCTTGGTGATTGAAGCCATGGGCTTAGTAAAGCCCAAGCAGAGATAATGTGATTATGTCCTTGATCTGTGTAGGAGTCACTGCTCCCATCCTTTCTGCAAGAGTAAACCAAAATCCACCAGCCAAACAATCAAAACCACCCCGGAGACTGGAGAAACTTTTCTGTGTGTCTAAGTTAAGGATCCCATGCTCAGTAAATGTTGAAGAACAGTGTGCTAGGACTGGATGCAGTTCCATGCCATAAATAGGGCTGCAATTCAGGCTGTCTCTTTTTAATCTTTTTATGCAATGTCACTGTGGTACACAATGGGATAACAGTAGCTCTGGGTCTTTAACTCCCACATACATGAGTCACTCTGGTTCCAAAGCCATTTGGCTTATTTAGCTTATACATCTCTATATGTGCATCTCATTAGCTCCTTTCTGACTGGAATTGAGTCAAGCCCCTTATCATGGCCATATGTTTATTTCCTTTACTAAAACCCTAAATGTTTTCAAAACATTTAAAAGGAAGGTCTTTAAGTCACACTGAATGGGGTGGGGGCGTGATACAAAGTGACCAAGATAGAGTGTGTGAAATAAAAGAAAGGAAAGCGTATGAGTAATGACACACAGTGGACATTCGGGAGGCTTTGGGAGACAGAAGACTAGGCCAGCTCAGTATTGTCCTGCCTGAGGCCTCTATCTATAGAAGGAGAATTTTTTTTTTCTACTTGTAATTTGATTTTCGCTTCCTAATGCAAGGCCTGGCTCTCTCTCTGTATTTATGTTGCACAGAGGTAGTAGTGCGTGATTTCTATCAACATTGCTAGATGTTGCAGCAGCAGCTCTCATAATAAAATAGGATTCAGTCTCAAAAATATTCTGGACATGACAATCAGCCCCTTGGGTGGATGAGTCAAAGTGGACATTGACATGCAGGAACTAAAATGGACATTAATTTTAATTCATGTCCTTGGGGACATGGCCCTGAAATTTTCCTGTGTCTGTATTTAGGCTAAACATAATTCTTGGAGCTACAAAATAAATTTTTATTTCCCTATCTCCTTCCAAGGACTCTTTGATATGAGAATATTCTCTCTTACACAAAATGATAAACATATTGGTACCTTTATCATATTTTTCAGAGGAGTGTGCCCTTCCGAAAACTTGTGAACAAATAATGTCTCCAGAAGATGTCTGATGTAGTGTAAACAGTGACAGAAGCAGGCCAAGCTGGAAGAAAAAAAAAAAGAAAGGAAATTAAGGTAAGTGAAAGATTACTTTTTATTACTTCACAGTTAATGTCATGAAAGGAATAAGAACTAATATTCCAAAACTGCGGTCACATTGAAATAGTGGGATTTAAGTTATTGTGTTAATTGAAGCATCTGGAACCAAAGATTAATGGAATCATTTTCAATGTTATACAAAGTTGCTTACATTTTGCAGGGAAGCAACTTATTTTTTACTAGCCTTGAATTAGAAAGAGCTCCTCGAATTCTGAATGTGATACATAGCCCTGACAAGACATTTAGACAGGACAACTGTGTATACAACCAGGAGTCTGACGTGCTTTTCAAAAAGAAGTCTCCCATGTTTTAAGGCCACCTTAATGCTCCTGTAGGATGTGTCTGACATTTAAAAACATTTTGAATATCTTCCGAATGGTTTCCTTGTCCTTTGCCAACTCAAGTAGCTGCATGGAGGTAGTTTGTATTTCATTTCCTTGTGGACGCAAAATGGGATTTTTTTGCAAAGTTAATCCATTCTGATGGCTTTTTTGTTGCCTGTTATAAAGAAATGAGGTAATTGTGGTAGAAATTATTATACTGATTCTATTTTGAGGACGATTATGAAACAATAACAGGCATTGCTGATTTGCTTCCGAGAATGAGATGCAGCTCATAGTGACTGAGTTTCTGAAACAAATGTCAAGAGTGATTCCTGATGGCATTTTATCTTGGTTACATTTACCACACTACCATAGCCCATCTTTCTGCAAACCAATTATAAGACATAAATGAAAAGTGGTTTTCAGCATGTAAAATCTCAAATACTTTTATTATGCATCTTGTATGGAAGCCAGAGTCAAAGATTAAACAATTTCAAAGTGATTAAACCAGAGAGAGTTGAGCTAAAAAATTTTCAAACAATTAATGACTTATCCAAAGCCTGGAGCAAACTTTCAGCTTTGCTGGGAATTTTAAAATGAATTTGGCTTAGGATGGGGACCTCAGATGAACCCATTAAGGAGTGGCCACCGGAAGGATTCTGTACACTCCTCGCCCACATAAAAGAAGGTAAAGGTGTTTCTGGTTCTTCTGTGCTCTCCCTTTAAGCATATGAGCAAGAGAAGGAAGACAAACATCTTGCAGCTCTGGATTTGAATTCAATTCTCTGTTCTAATTCCCAGCTCCACTAACCCTCTTAATGTCTCTCCAAGTGTCTATTCCTCCATCTGTAAAAGGTATTATTACTCACTGTGTTTCTCTGCTGTATACCAGTTCCCTTGATTCTGCAATCATAGTGTGGGAAAAGTGCTGTGGGAGAGCTGTACAGTCCTTTGAGCTTTCTAGTTCCCTGTGTGCTCTCCAACAAGTAGTCCAACTTACACAGATGACAGGCTTTCCTTGGTCGCATTTTACCCTTCTGACAGGCACTAACCACCCAGAATGGGGCCAGTCGCACTGAAGGGAAGTTCCTTAAGCATGAAAGTTCCCCGCCTTCCTGGTGCATTATACCACCATCCTGTGGAGATGCCCCTTTAGAATTTCTTGACCTGACTCATGACATGCACACCTGTTGAATTTCCTCCTTCTTCTGCCTAGGTGAGCGCTGGTGTGGGGGTAGTTATCCTCTGTGCTGGATGCTGATGCTACTCATCTCATGAGCAGGAATGTGCTATAGATAGACTGGGAGTGGGACACCTGAAGTCTTTTCCTCTCTTCTCTGTCAAGCTTGACTTTGGGTTACTACCCACTGTTTTTATTATTTCACCCTCTATTCAGGCTTTGTGTCTAGAGTGCAAACTATTTGGAGGAAATACTGCATCTCCCATGGTGACCATTGCAACTGGGATCCAGTTTTTGGTCAGGCTTATGAGTTCTGCTAAAATGCCAAACCGTCACTAGTAAGAATTTAATCTTAAACCAGGCATGAAGCCCCATACTCTGTGTAACCTCCTCCGCTCTGGAGGTGCAGTCTCCATCCCTCTGGCTCCTCACGCTCCAGGAAAGTTGTTCACACAATTGTCACTTACTGAACCACCGGGTGGCGGAAGTTCTTCCTACTTTCCACTTGATCATAAATAGTTGAGAGGCGAATATAAAAGAGCAGATATATTAGAAGAGGTCCGGTGTATTCTGTTAGAAAAAACTAGAAATGAAAAATAAAATAGCTGTATCAGAGTAGAAAATTGTACCAGTAAAGGAATGAGAAAAAGAATACCCCTATCCACAACCCTATTCATCCTTCAAATGGCATTTTGGCTTAATTTTGAGGACTTAAATGACACATTGAGGTTTTTTTCTGCTATCTCTTTAGCAAAGGAGTAAAATCCATCTAGGAAGTGTGAGAGAGGTTTCTGTGTAGAAAATTAACCCAGTCAGGAATGCTTCATGGAAGGTGGTCAAAACCATATTTATCTCCTCTTTATATTTTTGGCTGTGACATCAAAAGCCCATTTGGAATCAAAATAGCACTGAAAACCGAGGTCCAAAAGCTGAAGGCGGCTTGCTTTCTGCCAGAGTTTTTTGCAATTAAGTGCTAAGTCAGTTAAAAGGCAACCAAGCATGACAGAAACAAACATAGTCTCAAATCCCTGTTGCTAGCAGAGTCATCTGGAAGGGAGGGATCATTGCTCAAAATTTGGTGTTGGGTGGAAGAGCAGGACCAGCCTGCCTGGTGCATGGTGCTTTGAGCTTTTGTTCAGTGACTGAGTGGTACTCTGCCTGAGCAGACTTATATACAAGTAAATTACCCTGTTGTGATGAAAGTAAAGCAGGAAAAAATCATTTCATCTTCCCACTGTCACCCTTGCTAGACACCGAGAGCTGAGAGAAGGGGCAGGAAGAGAAGGCAGAGTTGTAGAGCTTCCATGAGCCTCCTTCAGTTTTAAGTCCTGGCTTTGGTTTGGTACAGTCTGTATTGCCTTTTGTTGGGGAACACTCCTAGGCCATAAACAGCTGGAGGAAGTAAAACAAGGGTAGAGTGATGTGAGGTCAGGATTTGATCATCTGTCCCCACTGGAATTAATCTCAGAATAAAATGGGAGCGGTATAGTCCTGCACGTTTACAAGCACTGGCAAATCATAACTCAAGTGCATAGTATTGCTTAAGGGGTATAGATTGATAATTAATTGGCCATTTGGCTTTAAAGTGGCTACTCACACTGCTATGGAATTGTAATGAATAAATACCTGTGGCTTGAGGAAGCAACACTGCATTTAGAGTGCCTGTCTCAAAATTAGTATTTGGCCCCCCAGGAGGCTGTTCTTCTAATTGCTCTTCGGAAGAGCATTGGAGAAGAAAGGTTTTCCTGCAGAAACATCCTGCAATTAGGTTCCCTTCATTTGGGACCCCCAGTACTATTTCTTTTCTTCTGTTATAGGGGGAAACTTTTTGAAATTTTAGCCTTTCATAGCAGGACTGTCTCCAAAAGGAACAGACTGAAGTGTTCTCTACCAAAATTTTCTTTTGTTCCATGTGACATCATGACTTCTGTGCTCCATTTAGACTCTGCATGATCCCCAGAGCAGGTGTGTGTGTAAAAACATTTAATCTAGGAGAGTCTAAGAGCACATTGTTGTGGAATACTCCACAGTTAAGGGCTTATTAGTGTTTTGTCCTAATAGCAGTTGTATAGGTCTGTTCCTAACTGTGAGCCCACTGTGTTAGGCACTCTGCAAACCCTGTAAGAGATGGCCTCCACTTTTAAAATTTGATACACTAAATATAAACAGTGGTGGTATAGAGGACAGAGGTGCAGAAAATATGGCCTGGGCAGGTCAGTGTAAAAGCTTGGAATGAGCTGCTTTCTTCAGCGTAGCTTTTTCTGTCATCCATGAGTTGCACCACAAAATACATCCGTAACTGCCAGCTTTTGTCATCTGTTTGGCACAAGCATATTACAAAGCTGCCAGGAAGAGTTTGGCAGGACTTAGCACCAAGTTATGCTTATTTGTCACTGCACCAAGTGTTCCCCCCTTGTCCCTTGACTGATTTCAGATGCTGAAAGAAAAAAACTTTCAAAATCCAGTTTCTATTTAACAGCCAAAGCTACCAAGCACATAATACCTGAATCCCTGTGATGAGGTTTGTTGTAGGAGGGGGAAATGCAGGGTGTCTCATCAGAGGAATTCAGAGAAGCAGCTCTTGAGCTGGGGTTTGTGGAGGTGAGCAGCACCAGCATGCTCAGGGTGCTTCACAGAGACACCTGTTATGGCTGGGGACAGGGTTCAGTCTTGTCTGTGTGTCGATCACATCCGACACAAAGTGTTAATCAACAAGGTGGAGGAAGGTGGTCCAGGGTCAGCCATAAGATTGGCAATCAGAGTAGGTACTGTCTGGCAGGTAGGACTATATTTGCCTTTGTCATAACTGTGCCACACTGCTGGAACATAGTTAAGATCGGTAACATTCTGTTTTAGAGGATGAGGTTCAATTTTTTGTAGTGGTTTTTGTTGTATTTTATTTTATTTTGCTTGAGTTTCACACTGTTTCCTTCTGTTGCATCTCCCATGCTGCAACCACTGCTCTAGTTCTCTGGCCCACTGATTTTAAATTCATCAGAAACAAAAAATGAGTTCCAGAAAGCAGGCAGAGAAACTACTAAAAATTCCCATGAGTTCAAGCAAGTGAAAGGGAAAGCAGTCTTAAATTAACACAACATTACAATAATTTCAACCCACTGACAATCAAGGGTAAGCACCATTTTTTGAACTATTGATTCTCAATGAGTGTATTCAATTAAGCCTACCTAATATCTTCAGACTCATCCTACAGATGACTAATTGGGGAGTTATTTGTTGTGTCAAGGATCAGTTCAACCTATCACTTTTATAGGTGCTCAAAATTATTAATTCCTGCTGACATGTCCTGCAAAAATAATAATCACATTTTAAACTAAAGCATGAAAATAATAACATTGTAGCTTGTTGTTTCTGAACAAAAGAAATACCACTTCATTTTAAAAAGTGATCATTTAAAACATAGAGCAGTTTTATTCTGTAGAAATATTAAAAAAAAATACTTTTTCTTTACCATCTTGTGGTCCTGCCTAGATTATTTTGATGTATTTGGTGCAACCAAATATGGTAGTCCATAATAAACACAAAGATCTTTTCCTGGAGGAGCATTATGTTTCTGTAACAGTGAGCATAGGTCAATAGAATTTAACTTTTGGGCTTATCATTAACTCTCTGAAGAGAGAAAAGAGGATTTTTTTTCCGCATCTGCACAGTTTATTTCGTAGCATGCAGAGTGTCCAGTTCTCTTACCTTCCTTCTCTCCACTGTCTGGCATTATATACTCTATATACCTCTCATTCTCAGTAGCATAGAGAAAGTGTTCTTGAATCAAAGTATTCTTGAGTCAAAACTCTCACAAGCATGAGCTCCATACAGGGTGATAAACTCAAGGTTCTTTAACTTTCTCAATTATCAATCAAGTCCACGGGGATCTGAGTCAGTAACACATAAACTGGAAATATCTACTACAGAAACAACAAAACTGAGATCTGAAACATGCCAAAAGAGAGAAAAGATAGGATTTTCCATCGTTGAAGAGAAGATGGGACAAATGGTAAAATGGTAAAACAATACACAATAGCTAATCTGCAAACCAGCAAGGCATCTCATCTTACATGAGCCAGATTGTACCTGCTTGTTTTATCTCTGTTCAGCTGATCATGCCAGTAACACCTTGCTGAACTGAGTTACAGCCAGGTCAGGAATTAAAATCCCAGACCGTATAGGGCAGAGGGTTTATTTAGGGAGGCACGAATGGAGCAGAGGTGAAAAGAGTTTTTCAAAGTTATTTGAGGGAAGGTGAGGTGATTTTCTGGCTGGTAGGGGTAGCTGACATTACCCCAACAGGTCTACTGAAGGGAATGGAAAGGATTTTGATTTGGTTAATAGTACCGTGTGTACTGGTTTCAAAAAGGCAGAAAAGGACAAAAGGAAACTATAAACAGAGGCAATGGAGAGGAGGGAATCTGAAAAAATTCCAACAGAATCTTCATAAATGAACAGCCCACATATTTGTATCTTCACGAGGGCATCAGCTAATTCCTCTCTGTAATGTTTATGACATGCCCTTTCTGTAATATCACACAACACACCCTATCTTATTGCCTCTTGGCATAGTCTCACATTATCTCATTTATGACAAGCAGCAGAGCTGAGGAAAGGCCGAACAGCCTCTTCCACACTGATCCCTTCCTGCAGCTCTTTCCATGCCATGTAGGGGCAGTTTCCTAGTTCATTGGTACTGGTTGTGATGTTTTCTCTTCCACTGTCCATGGGATGTCTGGGTTCAAGCAGGGAAGCAGAGAGTGCGGGATGAGGATAATACCCTCAACCAGGACAATGACTTTGGGTCGCTGTCTGTAGCTCTCAGCACAGCAAGAGATACAAAACAGCTCAAGCGTGTCCTGGGTAACTCTGATGGAAAAGCAAGTGTAGTTTATAAATTATCTAATGGACAGGGCTTAGTTTCTCTGATAAATATGAGACAAAGGCACTAGCTGCAGGTCTGAGCCAAGGTCAGACTGAGGCAGTACATACTGCACAAAGAGGAAAATCTACTGATATCAAACAAACAGACCATTACTATGTGTGAGTGTACAGAGCACAGCTTCTGAGAAACCCAAGAGATCAGGCAGTTGAATCCACCCAAGTCCCCAGATCACATTAAACTTAACATCTAACTACCTTAGACTCCTTTTACAATCCCAGCCCTAAGTACTCTTGAGCTAATGATCATTAAGAAACGTTATTAATTTCTAGACTAATTTCTGCTTCATACTCTTTGTTACCTCATTAAAGGCCATACTGTTACCTGGGGATGATAATGGCATAATTTTAGCGCCATCTCTAAATCTTCACCTTTGTAAAAGTTTCATATTTTCATGTTTGTAAAAATCCATGGCAACAGCAATTTTGTCTCAGATAATACAATTCTTAAGGGCTGCTTGAATATTCAATGACTTTTTGTTCCAGTTCTCATGTAATCCATTCTGCAAAACTTAAATAGTGCATGCAGGGGCACCTGAAACTTCCCTTGTCTGGGCAGACTCTGCAGTGACTTGGTGTCTATGAGTGTTTCAGGCTGCAGCTCAATATTTACTGCAAATACCAGAAATAGGGATGGATTTG